AACCGAACCGACCCGAACCGAACCGAACGGAACCGAACCCGAACAGTTCCATAATTATATTTGGATCCGACGGGTCCATTTATTAAATACCCGAAAGTTTTGGGTCGGTTCGGGTATCTTCAGAACCGAACCGAACCGACCCACGGACAGCCCTACTTGGCTCCAAGATAGATGTAGGACTTTATTGATTTACTCCAATAAGTCTAATGAAAATTGTGCAAATTAAAGCCAAGTTTGGCCCCTATTTTCTAGAACTCATTTTTCCCTCGAACTTATTTTTAACCACACATTTTATAGAACCTACAACTTTGTATTAACTTTTCAATCACATATTTAATCAAATTTTATCAAAATATGCTAAAAATCGAATTTTTAGCTAAACCAAATTGGGGCTAAATGTTGCCCTAATTGTATGTATATGTATATTAAGTATGTCACGTAAAGCACATTTTTTAGGGTTCAAGGATTTTGCACATTTCTCAAGGCATCTAAAGTAGAAAGCTAAGGTAAAGGAAGGAAGCTAGTTTGTTTGGAGAAAAGAGCTATTTAAAAAGAGTGCTTCTAAGGTATACTCCTTAAATCTATGATGTGTGGATTGAGCTCTCATTCCCTTTTGTGGAGTTCGACGTTCTTTTCTTTATTTAGTTTCTTTTTGTCAAAGGAAACTAATTTTTATTGAGATTTAAAGGAAAAAAAAACCAACAAATGGTATCAAAAGCCGTATTTCTAGAAATCCTAAACTAGGATTTCAGGCTTAAATCTTATTAAAAATGCATTTTAGTTAGGATGATGATAGGGTTATCTGATGTTGACATGTTAATGGCCTTAAGAGTCTTCATCTTCTTGTAATCTATTAAGATAGTCTTGGTTTGTAATAATGAATGACTAATTTCATTTTTATTTCTTGCAAGGCATTAGGGTTTTATTATTGCATTTGCTATTGTAAATATTTGCTTGTTTCAACAAATGGGCTCAAGGAGATGGAGCTTAGTGGCCGGGGAATCCGTGAGGGGTAAGATGGGCTCAAGCCTCTCAGAGCGGACAATACGTAAGTTAACAGATTGAGCACAGATGCCGTATCGTTACAAAAAACGTATTTTTTTGTAAAGATCCAGCCTCTATGTCAAGCCGCTAGCTTACATGCTATCCACTTTGGGCACTTTTTTATAACGACCCGACCTCTATGCCTAAATCGTTAACTTACGTCCTATCCGTTTTGGGATAATCTGAGTCCATCTTACCCCTCACGGATTTCTGTCGCGTCCGCAGGATTCGAACCCATGACATTCCCTTAAAAGAGACTTAAGTTGAATCTTGGTACCAATGACGTTAAGCAGCGCATGCATTCCTAAGTGAAAGGTCGGACTCCTTCATTTCTATCAGATTCGGGAAAAGGAACATACCACGTTAGAGGGCGTAGGACTTCAATGCAAGTGAAAGATAGACCGAGATAGGAGCCGGAATGGTGATAGACATGCTTACCCTATTGTAGTAAGATAGAGATGGACGCTCTAGAACTGTTGACAGAGTGGTCCAGTTCTGATCTTGACTTTTAGGACTGAGTCGCGCCTTTTAAGGTCTTATTTCTTCACGAATCCAGAAGAACAATATGATGTGACGAATAGAATTTGTATATCAATACCGCTTGCTCAATTGGCACAAAGATTTAACTTAAATCTCTTTCAAGAAAAAGGTCATGGGTTTGAATTTTGGGAACGCGTAAAAATCCGTAAAGGGTAAGATGGGCTCAGACTCTCTCAGAGCGGACAGTACGTAAGCTAATGGTCTGGCACAGAAGTTGGGTTGTTACACCATAGATGTAGCAATCGGAGGTGGTGTGTGGGTGACACTAGGGCTTTGATAAATGGGTCAATTTTTGCCTTATAATTTTCTTTTTGAAATTTAGGCTTATTTTTATAAGTTGGCCTTTATTTAAATAATGGCAACTCAAAATTAAAATTGTGCATATTTGAAGTCCACCCAAAAGGAGGAACAACAAAGTTATTGAAGAATTGGGCTGGATTGTAGCCCAATGGGATTCTTTAATTATTGTTGTATTTTTATTCTCTAGGATGTGATATAAGTAATTATTCATTTGTTTTTGTTACCACTTAAAAGTGAATCAATGAATGTTTGATCATGTCATC